AGTGCACAGCAGTCAAGGAAACCACAACTGGGTGGAAAACCAAGATCTAAATCTGCGGTGGATCTCATCACCTACAAAGACTTGTTTCAGCAGATACAAAGCGTCGATGAAGGGCCAGCCATTTACGAGATGTTTGCTGGTCCCATTTTCGAGAACCTCAGAGTTTCCAGCGCCTGTGAGAAACTTGAAGAGAGACAGTCACCCCGTGCTTCAACTAGAAAGACAAAGCAGTGCCACAAGGTCAAACCCCGGTCATTAAAAACTACACGGAAGCTGAAGCGAAGCTCAGGCGAGAGTACAACTGTTTTGGCTAAAAACAAAACCAAACCTATGCCACCTAGAGTGAAACTTCCCCCCGCTGTTGTAACAATGAAGTCCATCTGCAAAACAGAAACTAATGCTAAACTAGAAGCCGAGGCACTCTCCGATAGAAACACTGATGTCAGTCTAATGAAAGTTCAGGACGAAAGTGATTGCACATCATCAACCATAGAGGAAGCTGCTTCTAAATATGGATCCGATACATTAAAACCAGAAGAAGGAACGTTGACCACGTCAACTTCTTCCATTTTTGTTATAGATTACACTTTCATGCAAAACCACAAAATGGCTTCCAATGCATCAACACAAAACTCAACCCAACAGGTTTCAAACGCATCACTGTTGCCAAGTTACCAAAAGCCAACGATGGACACATGGACATCTTCTAGCAGTAGCTGCCACACCATGTCACCAGTCTACAAAAGGTTTATGGACGAGGTGGGAGATGGTCCGCTCACCGATGACTTACTACAATGTCTGGCAGAAGAGCTGATCTCCTTGGATGAAAGAGACACGACGGGGTCCGAAGATCCAAAGCAAAAAAGACAAGACGAGGAAATGAGTTTACCTCATAAATCTCCTGAGGTAAATTCTTTGATTCCAGATTTAAAAATTATTTTGATGGCACCATTTTCTATAAGAACTGTAAAAAAAATGTTAAGGGAAAACTGATATTAAATATTGGACTCTAGTAATTTTGTCCACTTTTTTTCAATATAGGCTTTCTTTATAATTTAGTCATATGCATTAAAGTGTTGTTTCTTATATTAAATAGCCACAGACTTGACTTTATTCTACTCAACAAAAAGTTTCAAGAAAATTACAGTATAAAGTCCATCTGGTAGTTATGTTCACTTCTCAGTTGAACGACCGTGATCGCTGTAAATGGGAACTGGTTCTCAATTAACCTACCTGGTAAAATAAAGGTCATCATTCAGTTTTTGAATTCTCTAGTTTCCTAACTCATTCCTTTTTAATTTCAGGTTGCTCCAATAGAAACTGACACTGTTCCTGGTTCTGAGTTGAGTGTTGACACCATCACTTGGACAAAGGGTGAAGTACTTGGCAAGGGTGCTTATGGCACAGTACGTATAATAATCTAGTGTAGTATAACAGTGAGATTTGCATAAAATATTGGTTCTAACAAGAATATTTAAAAATTGCGACATTAGTTGAGGGTCATTTGAAGTCACTAATAAGATGTTATCATACATTTAAAACAGCTGAAATATACCTGTACAGCAGGTACAGACATCTACTGACTGAAGCTCTTTGTAGGTGTACTGTGGCCTGACCAGTCAGGGCCAGCTGATAGCAGTGAAGCAGGTTCACTTGGATTCCTCTGACCCCGACGCTGCAAATAAGGAGTACAATCGTCTTCAGGGGGAAGTGGAATTACTTAAAACCCTTAGACACATCAATATAGTTGGCTTCCTGGGGACCTCCTTACACCAGCATGTTGTTTCCATCTTCATGGAGTATATCCCCGGAGGATCCATCGCTAGCATACTTCACAGGTGTATTTTTAACTACTAAACTTCTGACACTACAAAGCTTTCATTTACGACAAATGTTCCTTGAAGGTGCCTTTCCTCATCTTTAAATGTCCCTAGATTTGGACCCCTGCCAGAGCGAGTTCTGGCGCTGTACACTCGTCAGATCCTTGAAGGTGTGGCATACCTTCACCTGAACAGGGTGATTCATCGAGATTTAAAGGGAAACAATGTCATGTTGATGCCAACCGGTGTCATAAAGCTCATCGACTTCGGCTGTGCACGGCGTCTCAGTTGCTTAAACCACTCAGCTTGCAACAGTGAACTGCTAACATCTGTCCATGGCACACCTTATTGGATGGCACCAGAGGTAAATCAGACTTCACTCCGGTAGATGCTCCATTTGTTTTGTTTCGTTGATCCACTGACCTTTAACCCCCTCCCCCTTTAGGTTATCAGTGACTCGGGTTATGGCAGGAAGTCTGATATTTGGAGTGTCGGTTGTACAGTATTTGAAATGGCCACAGGGAAACCACCACTTTCACACATGGACAAGATGGCTGCCTTGTTCTATATTGGGACTCAAAGGGGGTCGATGCCAAAGCTGCCCGATGGATTCTCAGAGTGCGCCAAAGACTTTGTAAAAATATGTTTGACTAGGTAAGCAACTGCAGTGAAAATAGTGGTAAAAAGCTTCAACTCTGTATGAAACTGTTGCAGATTCTATTGTCAAACTTAAGATTTTTTTACGCTTCTCTTCCCTTTAGTGACCAGAGACTGCGGCCATCAGCCCACCAGCTCTTAAAACATTCATTTATCCCTAAAAAGGAGACCAATATAAAATCTTTGGAAATGTACAGAAGTAAATGCGTTTACGAAATGGGACCGTGCAAATTTTAAGATAATTTACGTTTGCAAATTTGTAGCAGACTCCAACATCCGAGTCCTGCTGGACCCAACAACCTGCCAGTGTGATGCAGGACGGGCTTTAGACTGAGCCATACATACTTGGCCATTGTTAGTGAAATTAAGTTAAAGTCACTTTTCAAATTGTATATTAAATGCACTTAAAGGATTACCAGTACTGCTGAGGTCAGATTACTTTTAAATATGAAAAGTGCAAATGAATGTTTCTAATATGAGGTTAATTCAGAATGTTTTCTTCATAAAAGCTAATAAATTTAATATATTACTTTTTATTTTTACTAGACAGTAATGTGAAGAAATGTTGGGAGAATATTGCAAGCTATGTACCCAGTAAGTAGCAGCCAGTATAAACTGGGCTGTAAGTGTTGTGTTGTCATCACTGTATGCTACAATGACAATTAGTTCTCTGCATTTAACCCATCACACAAGATACACCCAGGTGGAGCAGTGGGCAGCTATGTAGGTGCCTGGGGAGCAACTGGGGATTACCGGAGGCATTTTGCTCAAGGACACAACATGTTGGCATGGCAGGGAGTTGAACCTGAGATTTTCTGGTCCCAAGTTGGCTGCCCTTCCTTTACACCATTTAGGACCATGTATTATGCATTGTTACCAAAGATTTACTGGTAAAAAAAAAAAGCTGATTCATACAATCTAAACCATCTTTTCTGAGTCTTATTCAGAAAATATACACCGGTGCAACAACAAGATTTTATATTGTCAGGGTGGTTGAAATGCAAAAATGAATTAAAGTGATTTGTGGCTTATACTTTTTACTTTCTAAACCACTGCTTTCATTTTGAGCTAAACTGTGACTCCCTTCTCAGGTGTAATTAATTCAGCCTCAAACTTTCAAGGGAAATTGTAGAATTAAACTGTGTTAAAAAGAAGACACAAAATCACGTCTTATTTTTCAGAACAATGAATGATTTAGTGACATCGTGCTAGAATACGCCGTTACTGCTTTAAAAGAATATTTGCATATACTCTCTCTTTTAGTTTCTTACAGAAAGATGACACAAACATGGCTGACATCTAAATGGCTACAGCCTCATGTAACCATAGTAACACTTTTTCTTTGAGGCACAATGTTTGGCTTTCAGCTTAAGATCTTGTTGAAGGTTAAGAGGGATTTTTTGGTACAGATTACATCACTTTCATTACTGTGATGAGTTGGTGATTAATGTATCTGTGGCGACTGGAATCAACTGTATTATTCCTGTGAAAACCTAGTGTACCACCAATCTACAGAAAATCTGTAAGAAACACAAACCATTGGAATCCTCCAATGATGATGCTCAATCTGCTTATCAGCCCAAAAAAATAAATAAAAGAACCTCACAGATATAGTTATTTAGTTATAATTACAAGCAGCTCCAAACCTGAGTAGTCATGGAATAGCTTTTTCTTTTACCATACAAAAACGTATGTACATTTATCTCCACTATTTGTAAACAGCAACAATCCTCCTTTTAAATCCCTTTGAAGACTGCAACATGCTAATCAAATGCACAGTATTTTAGTGTAAAAAAAAACAACCAACAACAAAAAGGAGATGAAACTTTACAAAGAAAATTTCAATGGAATGCCAGCAAACAAATGAACTCCATCTCCTGCTGGCTTTTAACTTCTTCCATACAATCACACAAGTGAATTATTTAAATTAGTCAAAATAAAGAAACTGAAAAAGTGCATCTTCCATGCTTTTAGAGAAATTGTAAAAATTATTTTCCCGTATGGAGATTTTACATATTGAAAACGGGACTTTCCTCCATAACGGCGATGCACTCAACTCTTCATTTCTTGCACGTTCTTCGACCCATGTGAGGAGAAAAGATTCATCAAGCAGCAATTCGATACCAACAGTTACAGGACTGAAGATCACAGCCCCGAGGTGAGACAGGAAGCATAATTATTCGTCTAGCTCGTCTCTCAGAAATTAAGAAGTCCAACAATACTTTTTTTTTTTTGCAGAAAGGTTTTCTGCTTCTCAGTAAAGGGTTTATCATCACTGTTGCTTTTTTTTTCTTCTTAGGGCACTTGACAAGGTGAGCATCGCCTTGAAATTCTGAGCTGTGGGGTAGTTTCTTGCCATTTCCTTGTGCTGGACATAAATGGTGGACTCAGTGTCTCTGCTCTCCCACTTCATGTGGCGGTTCACTAGGAGGAGGAAACTGCTGGGAGGCCCGCAGCCCACCTGGGTACGACAGGAGGTGAAGAGGAGAAACAAGAATAAAGAGGAGGAGGGTGGGAGGCAAGTTAGCCACAGTGCTGCGAGTCATATGAGACACACTGCAGTACAGGAGAAGAGCAAGGAGACAAAGGGGAAGAAAAGGATAAGGTACCTGCAGCACCAGCACCACCTTTGGAGATTTTGCTCACTTTAGAGCAAGAGCTCGAAGTTGCGGATGAAAGGTGGTGGTTAAAGGTGGCCTCAGGGTGTGCCCTTTTGCGCGATGAAGATGAAGTCAAAGTTGGAACAGGATGACTAAATGTTCCTTCCATAGGGACCAAACTTGGAGGGCCGCGTAGTAGACCCACAGCCCCACCGGGACCCTCTGTGCCTCCTCGACCATTGCCACTGTGTGTTGGGGGGTGACCGTGCTTGTGGGGGCGATGGAGGTTGTACTCTGCTCCGCGGTGTTTCTCTTTGCTCACCAGCGGGCTGGAATGTTTAGTCTTGTTGTTGTTGGCCATCATGCCTTCATCTGATGAGCTGTGGCGCTCTGAGGAAACTTTTAACTTCATCTTGAGCTCATCTTTGCTTGGTTGTCCACTTTTCTCTGGTTGGGAGCTGCCACTGGACCCAGGAACAGCCGGACGAACTTTAAGAGAACCTTTGTCCCGTTTGTCACTATGATGGCGTCGATCTTGCCCTGAGACTGAGGAGGAAGGGACTTTCATTTTCATTGGGGAAGCTGTGATGTTGCCACCGTGGGAGCTTTGGTGGGGCTGCACATGTTTTCTATGATCTATTTGGGTAATGCTGGAAGGTGCATAAATGGAAGAGGAAGCCAGATCTCCTTTCATGTCACAGTCCATTAGTCCTACATGAAGCTCCTGCCTTCGCTTATGGACAGGGACAGTTAGCTCTGCAGAATGTTTCTCTCTATATTTGTCCAAAGTCAGTTTCTGAATTGAAGGTTGTAGTTGAGGAAGATGAACTGGCGGAGGGTAGACAGATTGAGGTGCTGGATGATGCTTGCTAGGTCCACTCCCACCAGCTTCTTTCTGTTCTTGTTTGACAAGATTTAAATCTACAGTTTTATCAGTTCTATAAGGTGGTGGATGCTGAAGCAAAGAGGAAGTAGAAGCCTGCAAAGTCAGCATTGATTCCTGAACTGGGATGCTGAGAGGTTCCTGCTTTACACAGGTGGAAAGGTACCCAGCTTGGCTCTGGTTATCCTGAGGCCATTCATTGTGGCTAGCTGGATATGTGGCAGTGATGGTGTCCAAAGTAAAAGGGACTCCTCTGGACTGGCCAGACATGGGCCCAGAGAAACCTGCTTTAGACAAAGTTAAGTTGGATGAAGAGTCTCCAGAAAATGAGACATCACTATGGTCCAGAAGCATCGAAGGCCCAATAAAGGAGTTGTCCATTGACTGTGTGGATTCAGATTTGGGCTTTTTGGCAGCTTGTGTTGCCTAGAAGACAAAAAGATTTGTAAGGCTGTGTCTAATACCTTCAATGATAGTTAAGAAAATAAACAAGATTCCTATTACTGCATCAATCAGTGTTTGCAATATTAACACCCGTCACTGACTGCACCTACAAGTAGCTAGCATTTTATCAAACTGGTTTCTATATCTGCATTATAACATCTGTGTCCTGCATCATTACAAAACATCAAAGTAAATAATAGGGATGCACGATATTATCGGCATGGTATCGGCCGATGGCGTTAAAGTTCAATTTTGGACATCGGCCATTCCATCAAAATAAATCACAGATATAAAAGACGGCATATTTGTTTTGACAACCCAGTGACAAGGATGTCTGTAGCGGCAGCAAAACGTGATGATCTCACGCCTGATTTGACGGTGGAGAGGAAAATTCAAAATGTCGGCGGTGTGGAATTTATTTTTCGTTGGTGAGGATGTCGGATTCCGAAGATTTTTGGACTACGTGGAGCCTCGTTACATGGTCCCCAGTTAGAGATATTTTTCTAACGTAACCTTACCTTAGTTACAAGCCATCATTTCCGACGTCATTGAAAAACCAATAGCCGATAGCACTTGGGTGAGTTTTACCACAAACATTTGGACGTTGTGTTAGCCCCGTTAGCACGATTAGTCTTACGGCACAATGGATAGACAAAACTTTGAACTTAAAAAGGCTGTCCTTCATGCACAGGAGTGCAGAGGATCCCACACTGCAGCTAGGAACCTGGAACAAGCCTCCACAAGTGAGACAGCATCGCAGGTGACTAATGCTAATAAATAACACTTTTCATTTAATATAAGTTAAAGTGCTACGCATATCATATGGCTGTTACTGAATATACAGAGCCTTTCCAAAAAATTAGAATATCATGGAAAAGTTGTTGAACTTCCATAATTCCATTCAAAAAGTTAATCTTTAATAGATGATGAATTAAGGGCCCACAATTTAAATGATTTCAAGTATTTGCTTATTTTTACATAATTTGGGCTTCCAGCTCATGAAACCCACAAAAACAGGATTTCAAAATATTAGAATACCGTGGAGACATCGGCCCACACCACTCAGCTTTTACAGAAAAAAAAAGAAAGAAATTAGGATCACAACAAATCAATCAATATATGGCACTTTCAAAACGATGTCAGTCAATCTTCAATATTTGGTTGGGAAACCCTTTGCCTTAATTCACTGCCTTGATGTGACGTGGCATTGAGGCAATCGGCCTGTGGCATTGCCTGGGAGTTATGGAAGCCCAGATTTCCTTGATGCTTGCTGTCAGCTCTTTGTTGTTGGGTCTGGTGCCCCTCATTTTCCTCTTGAGAATACCCCATAGATTATCAATGGGGTTTAGGTCCAGCAAGTTGGCTGGCCAGTCAAGCACTGTGGCATGGGCATCAAACCAGGTTTTGGTGCTTCTGGTGGCATGGGCAGAGGCCAGGTCCTGCTGGAAGATGAAATCTGCATCTCCATACAGATCTTCAGCGGAAGGAATCATGGAGTCCTCTAAAACATTCTGGTAGACTGTTGCGGTGACCTTGGATTTAAGAAAGCAGAGTATACCAACACCTGCACCGGACATTGCACCCCAAATCATGACTGACTGCGGATATTTCACACTGGACGTCATGCAGTACGGGCTCTGTTCCTCACCCTTCTTCCTCCAAACCCTTGGACCTTGATTTCCAAATGAACACTTTACTTTCATCAGAAAAGAGGACCGAGGAATCGGACAGTTGTAGCCTATCTCCTGGATGTGATGTGTCTGAATGTGGTGGTTTTTGTAGCGGACTCCCGCCTCATTCCACTCTTTCTGGATCTCTGTCAGATTCTGGAATCTTCTGTTTGATAATCCACTGAAGTCCACGGTCATCTCTTTTGCTGGTGCATCTTCTCCTGCCACATTTTGCCCTTCCACTAGACTTGCCATTGATATGCTTGGACACAGCACTCTGAACAGCCAGCCTCCTTAGCTATGAACTTTTGTGGTTTACCCATCCTATGGAGGGTATCAATGATGGTCTTCTGGCCAGTTATGTCTGCAGTCTTTCCAATATTAACAGAACTGAGAAAATTGAACCAAACTGAAGCAATTTAATGACACCTGGGGAAACCTGTGCAGGTGCTTTGAGTTTAGTAGATGATTAGTGTTACACTCAGTTTAAAACATTCATACCCTGCAAAATTTGGGCTGATTTCTTCACAGTATTCTAATTTTTTGAAATTCTGTTTTTGTGGGTTTCATGAGCTGGAAGCCCAAATTATGTAAAAATAAACAAATAAATACTTGAAATAGTTTAAACTGTGGGTCCTGACTCTATCATCTATTAAAGATTAACTTTTTGAATGGAATTATGGAAGTTAAACAACTTTTCCATGATATTCTAATTTTTTGGAAAGGGTTTGTATGTTACCAGCTCTTACACAATTTTGTAGCAAATAAGCCTAAATAAGAGGGCCATGTTCTGACAAAAGAAAGTATATAAAATATTGGTATCGGCCAAATAAGTTTTAACATATATCGGCCAAAAATCCAATATCGTGCATCCCTAGTAAATAAATTAGAATTTTATAATGATTTTTACCCTCCAGTTTCGTATCCTCTTTAACCTGCTTGGAGTCTTCTCTAGAATCTGCAGAAACTCATGGGTCAACTCTGAAATCGCAAAATATAAACCGTTAAATTCTAATGGTCAATTCCACAATACAACTTGCTGCTCTCGTTTACATACGAGTAAAAAGGCACAGTAGTGATTTTAGAAACACAAATTTGGTTTCCATAAAACGTGCCACGGTAAAGTTATCTCACCATCAAGCAGCTCCAGAGTGACAGAGCTGTCTACGTATTCCCACCAATGTTTCCCATCAGTAGAAACTGGAATCTCCCAGTTCGACCACTTGCAAGCCAAATGTATGCACACACAAGCAATGACTGTGGGCTTGTACTGGAGGCAGAAGGTAGTGAGGTGCAGACTGAAGAATGTGTGAGGACACACAAGGGAATAATTCAGGCCAATGGAGGTCATAATCCAGCCCACATGCGGAACAAAAACAAAGAACACAAGAGAAAGCAAACAGTTTTAATAGGCTGTTAGCTTGAGATGCAAATATGTAGTAACATTAAGTTATTTAACTCTGTAAATGTAATAACAGTAATTATTTTCAAACAAATATTTACAGCAATGCAATTTACCTGTAAACACTTCTATAATTTGAGATTCATACTGTTTAATTACTAGTCAAGTAAAATGAATATAGCAGGGGGTTGTCAACACACAAGCCATATCATCTATGTAACAGTTATTAAACCAAGAGCTTTTTCTTCAGTCTCTTTATTTCTCGCAATTGTGTTCAAATATAAAATAAGAATGCTTCAAATTAAAGTTGGTAAATTAGCAGTGCTAGTGTTTGATCCAATGTTTTATTCATAAAAAGCAACTGAATGTCACAATATTGCCTTTAAAGAGTTTAATAACTGAAACAGTCATGACTAAATGCAAATCATAGAAACAACAAGAACTACCAAAACGTTAAGATCTACATTACACACCAGAATATTTACTAAATCAATTCAAAACTACTGAGTCAGTGTTTTGTTAGTAGGACAAACACAAGATTAGTTTTGGTCAGACATCGGTTACGTGGGCACCAATGTTTAATTTAGTCTAAAATTGTTTAAAGTCTTTTTAGTTTCTCTAGGAAACTATGACCAAATACTATTTAGTAAAAATATAAGACACTTCAAACAAAAGAAAGGAACTGAAAACTAATTGTTCTGCTAACATCTGATCATTAAAAAAAGTGTGTGAGGGGTTCTTCTGTCCAGCAAGTGGCAGCAATGATCAACTTAGTCTCTGAACATTTGGTAGGGGTGGGGATAAAACCCAGCTCCAAGATTATCTGGAAACACTGTCCATATGGGATTTATAGTTAAAAGCCCTTTACGGTTACTGTACCAGAGCATAAAAATGACCACATTATAAAACTATGAGTTTAGAAACCCATTTGGTAGGTATGGACATAAACAGTAAGATGAGCACAAACCCTTGTGGTCAGACAACTATGCTATTAAACAAAGTTATTATTGTTGGATTTGGATATTTTAAATTCTGCTTTTGAATTATTAAGAAAAGTAAATTAAATGCGAAATATAAATTAGAACAATAAAAATTAAGTTCTTTATAGCTATGAGTCATATGCTACAACTTTACCATTACTGAATAGCACCGTTCAATTATCATCCCCTGTCCAGTATATTACCAGTAAAACGTGAAAGACCATAAATAGCTGGTGTCATTACTTTAAACAAAACATTTAAAGATTCAGTTTTTTCCAGGAAATTAGCTATTAAGAGAAAGTCTGTCTTTGTTTTATAGCCACTAATAAAACCAGTTCAGCAAGTATGTACGATGCCGAGTAGATCGGGTCTATACAGGTCAGGTTTTGGTAAAACCACTAAAATAGATAAGATTTGTGCCATGCCATGCCATTTATTCTATAAAGCCAAAGTTCAAACCTAGCACCAACATGCACCCCAGGTGAACAGATCACAAGTTCACACATAAATGAACAGAATGAACTGATTCAGAAAAGCATTGAGAGGTGGTCTGGGACAATTACCCACAACCACTTTGCAAATTGAATGCGAATTCATCCTGGGCCACAATGGAGGACCACCTGCTGCAACGCCACACAAGCAACAGAGTTAGTGCTTGTTTTCTGAGGTGAAACACGAACAGTGATCAAACCACTAATATTTAGCACTGCATTACTTTTACACTGGGTAATCTTAAAACATTCAGTTTTGCAACACATTGTTGTTCAGGAGATTCACCTATTGAACTGTTGAAGTCTACGATTAGATTAGATACTTTTTAGAGGGAAATTAAATGGTGGTTACACTCTACAGCAAGATTCAGGACAAAATAAAAACATAAAACCTATACTTGCACTTTAAGTACTTGTGAGCATGATTTTTGTGTGTTTATTTACTTTAATGACACAAAGAATCTCTATAATACTGCCAAGTACAGGAAAAACCAGTTTAAAAGGTAAATTGCTGTTATTGATGTATTAACTCTTAAACTGGATAACTCTCAGAAGCTAGCCACATGCTAAATTAACAGTAATGTCAACATGTGCTCCCTAATGTGACAAGCTACAACTCAAAAGTTGTACAACATTCAAAGAGACAAATGTTACTAGAAATGACCTAGTGTTTTTATTTCAAAATGCTTAAATAAAGCAGCAGATTCCCATTTAAATAACCAAACACCAGGTTTACTTGCACTAAATCGTTAAAAAACAATGTCTGCTTGACAATACCACAGGAAAGTAAAAAACTAAAAATAATTATAGAGAAGAGCAAAGGTACAGAGAACAGAAACTTTTTAGAAACAGACTCTTGTTTAAGCCAGAGTCGGTAATGGAAACACGTTTTCTCTGCATGACATGGCACAGATAAATAGGACGAACCTTTCTTAAAAACTAAACGACTAAAATCATTAATGGACTATAACTGTATTATTTCTTGATTCTGCAATAGAAAAAGTATCAAAATATATTGTAGGGATAAAAAAAAAAAAAGAAACTGTTTAACAACAAGCAATTACTACAAAAGCTGAACAATAGAGAAATTAAACAATTTGAACAAAGTAAAAACGTCAAAAATTTATCTGCAGTACTTACCGGAAAAACCTCTACGAGAAATGTTTACATCTGTGAAACCTTTAGCTGATATTCAGGCTACCAGAGTGTCTTTCTTTTAGAATTATGCACTTTTTCGCAACCGAACAAACGTGTGGTTTTCAAGCGCACCACTAAACTTCGCATTTTGCATTCAACCCATCGGTGCCAACACGTGGTCCCTTGTACAATACACCGCACTGCGACTGGGGCCGGTAACGCTACAAGCCGTCGTGTCCCGCTACCTCTGAGAAAGGGAGGGGAGCTGAGGGGAGGAGGCAAGCGTTCCAACAACCACCAGTGCAAGTAGGGCCTGTTGGACACTGAAAGGGTACCCTGCATTACAGGAAGCTATGGTGTGCAGTCAAAGTGCAATAAAGGAGGGGCAGGATAACAACCTGTTGGTAGCCATGAAATAGGAAGTCTGTGCCAGATCCTTGCTTGCTGTAAAATAGAAACAAAAAAGCAAAAAGACAGAGGGGGAAAATTATTATAATTGCTACAAAATGAACGTACGTTAACTTAAACATTCTAATTTTAACTCATTTCTAATGCACGTATTAGGCCAAGGTTCAAACTGGGATAACAATTTTCTGTTAAAGTTAAAATCAAAGTGGTGGAAAATTAAAACTACTTATGTATGATGAAAGCTTATGTATCATAAAAAATGTAATTTTACAAATAAAAAATAAATAAAAAAAGTACAAAACAGAATTTTTAAAAACATATTTTAAATGACCCTAAGATGTGATCAACAAAAAATAAGTTTTCTTTACATTATAACTGTGAACCTCGTAGATGTCTTAAAAAAAAAAACATTTAAAAAATACAAAAAAAAAAAGTGTAGCTAAAAGTAAAAAGTTTTCTTTCAGTTCTGAGTACAGGGGTCATAAATATTTTTCTGGTCAAAATGTGTATACCGTATTTTCTGCCATAAAAGTCGCAGCAGTCCAAATAAGTCTAATAAAGTGGGAAAAACAAATACGTTGCTTTGCCGTATAAGTCGCATCTATTATGCGTCATCGTTGTCAACCCGAAAATGTGGGCCGGTGTTGTGCCAAAAATCGATTGGCTGCCAAATGGCGACTGCGGGAGCATGCACAGGAGGTTTAACAAGAATTTAACAAGATAAACACTTAAAAACAATTATTTATTTGCTCTAAATTATAGTAAAGGCGTGCCTCAGTTTAAATTTTACTTAATAAATGCACTTTAATGATCAAATTAGCTGCATTTCGCCGGGACGGCACAGTGAAACGAAGCTGATTTGACAGTTGCTCCAAGCGAGCTGGACGAAGGTGGCAGGCTATGGCAAGCCGACTGTGTCATTAGCCACTTTTACCTATTACATGAGACAACGGCATGCCCTACAACCCGAGTGCCATCTAGTGGATGAAAATGGTACTGTTCAATATTATCAGTCAAGAGTGAATGAAAACAGTAATATCTCAGTCAAAAATTGGTTTATAAATATGGTGAATAATATCCATAAACACGTCACTTTGGTGCATGTGCATGTAAATTATGCAAAAAACTGAGTGGCCGGAAAATACGGTAAATCAGTTTGTCTTGGCCTAATAGGCATCTGCAATCATTTTATGTCATTCAACAAACTCAGCAGGAGACCAAAAAGGTATTTGTGGTCAGGAGACCAAAAAAACTCTGCATGGTTTTCACCCTTATCCCCACCCACATTTGAGGTGGGACAAACAAGAGCAAAGAAGGAAGCCTCTACCTCGCACTAGCTGGGTACATTTCACCACATCAGTGTGTGGGTGATCAATAGTAATTTCAAAGCCTGGAACAAAATACATAACAGGTGAGTTCAACACAGACACAGTTGGGAGGTGACATGTCATTTTAGGATTGCTATCAACAAGCACAGTCCTCTATCTCAAGAACTGACAGTCAATTATTTCATGTATAGAGCAGATTAAGATTTCTTGTTTTGAATGCAGTTTGTAATCGAGTCAAACATGCTGCAAATATGGCGGCAGCCTTTGTAAGTTCTCTGTAGACTCGAATGTTACATTTCCAAATGAACACTGCCTTCAAGAAAACAACATATCACCTTTACATGCTCGATATAAAATGACAAAATAACAGTGATAAAACTTTTCAGCAAAAAAGGCTGTGATAATCAACTTAACCAATTACCGTAAACCTTCATTTAAAATAACCACTATTCAGTTATCATCATCAGCATAAACAAAGCTCTGTCAATTCATCCATGTCATTCACCATTACTTACCCAGGGTCTGCAGCACTATGGATTCAAGTATCACCAGCTCTTGAGCTTGCTGGAGGTATGCCTAAAGTTCGATAGACAGTCATTACAACACAATTGTAATGAGTCTATTAATCTATACCCCTAACAAGTGATTTAAAAAGGCCAGACTCAGTCTAATATTAAATCGAGTCTTGGTACGAGTGGGTGCTTGGTACACACCAACTGCAAGCCTGGGCAGGAAAACTAAGACCCCATAAACAGGGCAGCAGAATAGGTCACTGCCATTTAAACAAAGGTGAAACCATGGCAACAGAGGAAAAAACAACTTCCATCCTTACAGAATCCTGATATACCCAAACTTACATTACTTTTTGCGTCTAGAGGAGATTCCTGTGGATTTAAGCAAGCATGTGCAACTTTGATCACATGTTCAAGCTTACGGGGTTGCTCTTCCACTTTTGCAGCCAAAAACAAGGTTGTTGGAGAGGTTATCTACAACAACAAAAAACATTTTTAGAAAAAAAAAAACTTTTTTCTCTCTCAAACCTATAAATATAATTCAGTTAGTGACAGAGGAGTGGAATAATCTTATCTCAGAATACTTACATTCCTATGGAATTTGGTGAAAGAATGTTGCATATAAAATCTATGCATGTAAACAATTGCTGTGTTTATTGTTAATTGAGAGCTGGAGGAGAGGTCAAGGAAGTTTTTATTGTTTGTAAATTATTCAGTGAAGAATGGAGAAACAAACGGGGCTCTTAAACTGTTCTCAATGCTTTTTTAAGAGAAACTGAAGATTTTCCAGTCCCTTCCAGATGTTCAATTGCATATAAACCGTGCTCAAGTTTACAACTTATCTACTTTGTACCTTCACCTCAGAATTGTCCTTTTTATACAGAGGGTGTCATTTTGTACCCATATGCATCTCATTTTGCACCCATGTACTTTTTGCACAACTTTCTGCTTTTATACATCTTTTGTTGTAGTTACACACGAGGGCATTTCTTGACAAAATCTGTCTCGTCTTCCAAAATTTGTATGAATATGGCCATGAATGTGCATACGGACAAACAAATTAAAATTTTAACTACATGTACAAAAGTATTTAACTTTTGGTCATAATTTTGATTATTTTTTAGCAAGTGTACTCTAGTACATATCAACATAAAGCTGCTGCTATAGTAAGTACAAAGAACCATCAATTACTTATTTTTGTACCCAAGAAAGTATGGACGAAGTAACCAAACTGCAAATTATATGAATTTAACTAGAATCATCATTCAAAATTTAAAAAAAAGTTTAGGACATTGAACAATTTTTTCTCTTTATCTCCATTTGCCTTTGCATAAGAGGTCCAACCTGTATGTCAGAGGAAGCATTTAAAAGACCACTTTATCACGTGACTAAAATAAAAAAAATTAAAACATGTCGGCGGCTTTATGACCATTTTTGAGAAACTATCTGTACCAGACGGCTTGGGATTCATAATTTAAAAGATGACTAGCCAAGAAAGAAGAAAAGCAAACACATCTACAAAAATCTATTGATGTCAAACATTGTATACGAGCTCACTTTAAAAAGAGCAAACATTTTAAGCATGTTCGCGTGTTCAACACACCCACGTGCACCCCGAACTGCTAGACCACATGAAGCAAACACGTGCGCAGAACCAGCGTTTATTAGGAGACTATTGGAGTAAAGTTTACTGCTGAGTCAAAGTACGCAACGGTCTGCCTCAAACACATTGCTGTCATTAACACGATGACAGGCTTAAAAACGATAAACACTACTTTTTTTTTTTAACAGCGTTAACTTGAAGTTTTCTTTACTTTATAAATCATAATTTCATACGAACAGGGCATTTTCATTTCTGTCGAAACCTAGCAACCCGCCTGGCTGATGGCCTTTCACTCGCTAACAAGGGTTAGCATGCTAAACTGGCGCAAATACTAAATAACTCAGTTTACCAGGATTAAAGCTGTAAAATTTTACAAGTATATAAAATGTTAAGTACAACAAAAAGAAATGTGTGAACTAAAACACTCTTGTCTTCCTAATCTCATTAGCAGTTAGTAACACAAAAAGTATAGCCGCCTACAGTTTTAGCTTGCTTAGGAGAAAAAAAAGGATACACATTGAGCCTTTGACCCATATCCTGGATCAAGTTCGCCGCTTGTTGTCGGTAGGAGAGTTCCCGGTCTGGTTCTACTCCACAGCGGCGGGACGGCGTGCTTTCCAGTTGCTCCCGGGTGAAATACCATTTCGACGAAGAGCCCCGGCATGCCGCCATTACTCTGTAGCGATCACTTCGGCATCGAGAAAGCGGATGTGACGTTGTGTCCGACCGCCAAACAAGGCACGTATTAGTGCTTTGCCGCCACCTTGCGTCCAATACCAGTCACTGCTGTTCTTCTCTTTTGAGATCCAAAGTATACGTTTTAATAATTTATTGTGATGTGATGTCACACTGAAAACAAACGTTTTTGATTTTTTAATTAAAGGATTACAGAACATTTCTATACATTTCTCAAGTATTTTTTAATTCAATATTAATTATGTTGCCATAAATTGTGTCAAACACAGCTTTTGTCATTTTGGGAAATAAGTCAAGTCAAGTCAACTTTATTTATAGAGCACATTTAAAACAGAACCTGTTATCAAAGTGCTTAACAACAAAAACAATCAATGAGTAAATTAAAGAGAAAAATATATAAACATATATATACAATACACTAATAATGATAATAACTGAAGAATTAATTAAAAGCATTTAAAACATAGGATCACAGATTAAAAAACACTAGATCAATTTACACTGTATGAAATGCCTGAGCGAACAGATGTGTTTTAAGCAGAGATTTAAAGTGAGGAATGGAGGTGGCATGCCTGATGTTGGGGGGCAGGTTGTTCCAGAGTTTGGGGCCCATGACTGAAAAAGCCCTATCTCCTCTGAGCTTCAGTTTTGTTTTTGGAACAGCCAAAAGCAGCTGATCGGATGATCTCAGGGCCTGAGAGGGAACGTATGGTTCCAGAAGGTTTAAGGAATAAAGGTATTTCCACCCTCAACCATTTAGTAAAATTAAAAAATTACTTCTATTTTTTGTGACATAAAGAGATTTAATTAAATGCGAAGGAAATTAATTTGAGTTCTTATAGTATAGAATAATTTAGACTCAAGAATCTCTAGCCAGGAAAATCAGTGAAAATTACTGTGAAAAATCACTGTGAAAAAAAAAAACTGTGAAAAAAATCACTGTAATGCCATTTGGTTGTTGATATGTGCAGCTGACTATCCAAGATGCTCATCTCATGCTGCTGATTATTGCATGATGCTGTGTTCATTAGTCCTCATCTGCACATAGACTCATGTTTGTGCTGCTGTAGTTTTGGCAAATTGTTTTTGTACTATTAGTGCTTAGTGTATTCGTATTTTGTGTATTGTTAGTTTAGTGAATGTACTGTGTAGTATATCCTTGGGTCATGTCTCGGTTCTCACTGCTGTTTTTTGTTTTACAATTTGTATTTTTGTTGGATGTAACTGGGACCCTATGCACATAGTTTCATTCCACCTCATGTACCACATGTGATGTGAATGACAATAAAAATCCTTGAATCCTTGAATAATTTACCAGGTCTCATGATAAACACAATATCATGGTTTCGATAAAAAATTTTAAGCAGTTGCTGTGTGTCACCATGTTTTTCTGATATGTTCACATTTTATTAGCCTGACATTTAATTTAATTATATTTGGAAGGATAAACATAGTAACTCTATTAGTACTTTAAATCATTAATTTGTGTTTTTACCAAGCCACACAAATAAAAGTAAAGACTACTGTTATGGGAACTGTTTAGATGTTTTAAAAACACAATATCTGGAAAATCATTTTGTTTCCATCAACTAATGTATTAATTTAACCAATTAGATGATCATCACTCAATTAAATCAATTAAATTAACCATTGAATTCAAATTTCAATATTGTGTCCCATAGTCATTTATAAATGCCTATGAGATTTGCAATCTCAGTAAGAGTCTCAACATTATGAATGAGTCTATTAGCTGTACCAGCATACTGTCTGAGCTATACCTTCTGTACGGTTGAGACAAAACTTTACCTTATATTTATGATCAAACCATGAAAAATATAAACTACTAATAACATTACTGAATGGTCATATTTTACAAAGTAGTAAGCAAAGGAAATAATAATAAAAAAAGCACAAATAGCCTCAACTGTAGGTGCAAATGACTTGTATTTGAACTCTATTTGCACAGAACAACATTACAGTTACAACATTAGGAGTCTAATGAGAGTAAGAAATACCATTTTCTACATAAACATTATAAAAACAAGTTGTTCCTGATCAAAATTTCTTTTTTATTAGGCCAATGACAGAATCACCAAACTGCCATGAATTTTTTATACACAAAGGTCAAATTTGTTGGTCTTCCTCTGCAGTTCTCTGCAAAACGTATCAATTCATCTGAATATAAAATTGCGACTGAATTGGTAAAAGGCCTAAATTAGTGGTAGTTGGAGCAGTCATGGTGTAGTATCATGCTACACAAACTGCTCTCGTTTCAGACCCAAAAACTCCAGTGCATTTCCAGCGAGCAACTTGTCCTGCAAAGCAAAACATAAATGAACAAACAGAGCACGGAAGTGATTTTAAAATGTTGTCTGTTCTTTAATGCATTCAAGTATTTCAAATATTTTTTCATAAAGTTTTAACAGTTATTCTGTGTATTTTGTGCTAGTAAGTTTTTCTACCTGGTGATGTTCGGTAGAGTTCAGTGTCTTATGGTCAAATTTGTGCCACTAAGTGAAAAACAAGAAAATAAAATACCTTAAATGTGTCATCAAAATCCTCCATTGACTCAATCAGCGATCCAGGCTCCAGCTCACCGAGTGGGAATGGATAATCTGTTCCCAGCATCACTTTATCCTACAAACAGGATTCAGACAATGACAAACAATTTCAGGCAAATCAGAAGCATTTCCCACCAATATTGTTGAAGCCAATATTGCTGAACCCAATATTGTTGAAGCCAATATTGTTGAACCCAATACTGTTGAACCCAATATTGCTGAACCCAATATTGTTGAACCCAATATTGCTGAACCCAATATTGTTGAACCCAATATTGTTGAACCCAATATTGTTGAACCCAATACTGTTGAACCCAATATTGCTGAACCCAATATTGTTGAACCCAATATTGTTGAACACAATACTGTTGAACCCAATATTGTTGAACCCAATATTGCTGAACCCAATATTGTTGAACCCAATACTGTTGAACCCAATATTGCTGAACCCAATATTGTTGAACCCAATATTGTTGAACACAATATTGTTGAACCCAATATTGCTGAACCCAATATTGTTGAACCCAATACTGTTGAACCCAATATTGCTGAACCCAATACTGTTGAACCCAATATTG